GAACGTGCCCGCCGGGATCGACGTGCTCGACGTGGACGAGGCGCTCGCCGTGCGGCTGACGGACGAGATGATCCAGGTGGGAAGGAACGTGGGCGGTGGGTGACCGACGGGGCTTTGACCGTACACAAGGAAAGAAAGGTATCAGCTGGCGGTGCGGCTGACTGATGAGACGATTCGGGTGTGAAGGAAGGAACAAAAACGAGCGAACGAACGAACTTGCGCGGTAGGTATAGCCGCCTGCGCTGTGGCCGTAAAGATAAAGCGGGGTGTCAGCTGGCGGTGCGGCTGACTGATGAGACGATTCGGGTGAAGGAACGATCGTGCGCGGTAGGTATAGCCGGTGGGGCTTCGACCGTAAATGAAAATGCCGGGTACAGTAGTGGTTGTTGTGGAGGCGGTGGGTGGCCGATGTTACGCTGCTTGCCGTTTGGTTGGCCGCCGGAGGGAACACGAGGAGCCACGCTGTGGAGGTGCAGAGAGAGGGATTGGGGCTATACGTGGCGATACGTGGCGAGCGGTGTTGCTTGCTCCCCCCCTTGCCCTGTTTGCCAAGCAGCTGCAACAGCCGCGGCGGAATTTTGCAGGCTCGCCCCATCCTTGTCAAGTACTCACGCAGTATACTAGTATCATGTCAATTCTTGAAAGAGTCTCACATGCGCCATGTGCCCCCCGTTCCTTCGCTCGCAGAGAAACAAGGATCGCCCGACGATAGAGATTGGGATGCTAGACGGAGAGAAGGTGTTCATCAAGTACGCCAAGTACGGGAGGTGCATCTCGTGTGACGGCACAGTGGTGATGGTGAGTGTGTTCCCACGGACATTTTCACTGCTGCACCTCTTACCCACCGAGAGGTCCTGACCGGTACAGCAACGTATCCCGCTGCTAGGATCTCCTTGACGATGAGGCGCGCGGCGCGAAGGCGCACACACACTTGTATCGCCGTGCTCCGCCGCGTCGCGTGCTGCCCTTGGTATATGGTAACACTCAACAGTGTTTTGCTCACGGCTGGTTTGTTGCGGGTGGCTTGCAGTGTAAGTCCTCCAGTCGAAAGAAGCAAACGCTACAGCACACAAGCATGCACGGCCATTGGCCTGTGCGCGCTCTTTGTCGTGGCGGAAACGTCAAGGGCGAGAAGGGAGATAACTCTGGGCACAAGGGGCTCTCCCAGGGGATTCCGTGGAACTCACCAGGCTTGGCGTCAAATCTTGGTCGCGAGGGGAGGGGGGGTTCTGTTGTATAGGATTTAGTGTGGTATAATTCAACCCATATTACTTAGTTATGTGGGATTTAGTGTGGTGTATTGAAACATTTATATTGCAAGAATATGACATGGTGTATAGGTTTTCAATACGTCGGTGTATAGGTTTTTGTATGGTCATACTGCGGTATTCTAAAGTAACGCCCTTGTGTTGCATTTAAGAATCCATATACAGTCGTATGGCCGGGTTGTATTGGTTTATGTATGGCCATACAAAATCTATTACAGCATATCATGTACAGGTTTTAAGGTACCATACTAAATCCTATATAACTAAGCATATGTAGGGTCAAGTATACCATCCTAAATCCTATGCAATAGACCCATCGGGATTGGGTTTTCGCAACGACGCGACGTTGTAAAACAAGCCAATTCACTTCGTGAACTCGGCAACCAGGTTATCGGTTTTTTTTTATACCTCTGGTGTTTTTTTTGTTGCGGTAACCATAATGGTGGTCGAGTAGATCATGTTGTGCGGGGTCGAGAACCCTCACTCCGCGCAAGGGGGATGATCGCACCACGTTGTGTTAAATTGGTCAACCATCCTCGAGGCAGTTACACAGTGCTTACAACTGTCTCTGGAAGTGAAAGCACCACAAAATAAATTAAGTCATCCGCAGCTGTCATCCGTACGCAAGGAAGTAAGCAGAAGATGCCGAACACCCTTAGCAGGATGCAGCGCACCCTTCATGCGACTTGTCGAATACCTCACGGCGCTTCGCGCTTGGTGATGTGAGAGCCTGGTCCGGTGAGAACCCGGCGTGCTCCGTCCCGGCTTTGTAGGGATGCGAGGTTAATGGTCTAACGAGAACGGCATGCACGACTATGAGTACACCCCCCCCCCCCTCGCGACCAAAATTAACGTCCAGCCTGGGGGGTTCCAATGTTTCCACTGGGAGGGCCCCTTGCTGGGCGGTGTCTCTCTACGGGGAGTAGCACACGGCGATGATCTGCTTCGAAGGGATAGCATGTATTCTCAAATTGGTCCAACGACCAAGAAACACAATATTCTCGCACGCCCCCCCCCCCCACACACACCAGCTGCCCCCGCAGTACAGGAAAACGAAGAGCAACCCGAAGCCGGAGGAGATCTCTCTCGACGAGGCGATAGCCCTCGTTTTGGAGAAGCGCTCCAAGGACGGCCCGGCCGCGGCGAAGGCAAGGGCAAGGGGAAAGAAGGCGAGCAAGGGTGGCACCGCTGCCTCCACCGCCTCGGCCACGGGTACGGGGAAGAGGAAGAAGAAAGGAGGGCGGGTGGTGAAGGGCAAGAACTTGGGGGGCGGCGAGAAGAGACCGCTGTCGGGGTTCTTCAGGTTCTGCAAGGAAAGCAGGGAGTTGCACACGGCGGCGACGGCGACGGCGGGGACGGAAGCGGCCGGGGTAACTCTCAACGCGGAGACCCTCTCGGCGAGGTGGAAGGGGCTGGGTGACGAAGAGCGCGGGAGGTTCAACGCGGCGGCGGCGGCGGCGCTCGAGCAGTGGAAGGCGGACAACGCAAAAGCCGAGAGCGGGAGAAGCAGCGGCAGCAGCAGCGGCGGGGGCAAGGGCAGCGGCAAGAACAGAGTGCCCCAGCCGAAGAACGCGTACATTCTCTTCTCTTCCGAGCGGAGGCCCGGGCTGAAGGAGGAGGTCGGCGGGGAAGGGCTCACGGCGGTGGAGATGACCAAGAAGCTTGCGCAGGAGTGGCGAGAGCTCGAGGGCAGCAGCGTCCGAGAGGAGTACGCGCGGCGCGCCGCGCTGCTGAGGGAGGCGTGGCTTAAGGAGAAGGAGGAGGTCGCCTCCGCGGACAGGGGGGCCCCGGCCTGGGTCGGGGGTGGGGTGGGAGGAGGGAAGAAGTTGGCAGCGACGAAATAGAGTTGTGCGTTGTTAGATTCTCTTTCGCGAAGGGGTGTTAGCAGGACTGAACCTCCCGTGTTGTGGCCTTCCTCGATGGTGCATGTTGAGCAGCCCCACTGCTGTGCATGTGGTATTGACGGGAAGATGGTTGGCCGAGGGTAAATTGTGTTTTCTGTTGTAGAAATTTCTTCTTTTTTTTTTGTCCAGGGTCGAGGTACATATTGCTCCACCTTCTTCACGTCGCGTGGAGAACGGAGAAGGGCAAGGACCTTAGAAGAGGGCCCTCGTGGACGCGGTGTATGCTCAGGACGGCATCTATATGTCCATGCCGAGCATGTGTGAATTTGACTAGATGGAGTAGCCGGCATTGCGTATGTACTACTGCTGACTGCTGCATGTGCACGTCAGCCGTCTCAAATGCGTCTTTAGCGTTGATACGCCCTTGGCAGGTGATGACACATACATGCTCATGCTGGTCGAAGTAAAAGAACGGTCCAGAGGACAAGATAGACGGCTTGCAACACCCGAACGCTGGTTCACCTACTGGTACGACGAAAGACTGTCTACCGCTACCTGCTCTACGAAGCAACACAGCATAGTCATTATTGAGCGTGACAGTAGGCTGCCGGTGCCATTTTCTTCACACAGGATGGTAGTGGCTAAAAGGGATTCGATATCTGCGTTCTGGGACGCGCTCAAGATCTGTATCACAAGGCATTGGGTTATGATAGCGCAATGTACAACTGGAACCTACTCATATCTTCAACGCATGGTTGTGTTTTCACCACGTTGCCTCACAACCACGTGACACACCGCCCTTGGAAAAGAATGCCCCCTACATACGGAGAAACTAGTACGAAAAGTATATGCGTCCTCCATGTACCAAGCAAAGGAAGCGCTGGTCACGAAGACAGAAGCGAAAAAGAAATAACCATCGATGGACCATCAGTTCCAACAACGAGGATTGCAATACCTGTTCTACACCAGTCACCGTGGACGTGAGCTAGACTCACGACGCCTCATGCACTTGACGCAATTTGGCCATACATAGGAGCTTCGCCCCTGTCTCGTTCATCGCGCCTGCAGTAACCGACCGCTGTCGCCGTAGGCAGCTGCGTCAATCTCGTCCTCACGCCAGCAACACCGAACGAAGAGTTTTTCCGTAGTGCCAGGCCTCCACGTCATGCGTCGTGCATGACCTTTGCCTAAAGACCTCCCAACTGTGCACGTGCACGAACTATTGCTCGCACAACTTCCAGGCGGTTCGGAGTGTTGACCGTGTTTGGGTGGTTGTCCCCAAGCTGATTTGTAAAGATTGAGAGGGCCCTCTGAAATAGTGGTATAGTCTCCGCGTAGTTCTCCTGTGGACGGTTGAGGTTGTAGGGAACACAATCTTCTTCCAGTGAGCACACCGCACATCTCAGGACTTGGGGTAACTCACTTGAATCCACCAGATACAAAACGTGTAGCACACACCACCAGTGGGCTAGAGTTGGTCCAACCAGCCTGAACATCAAAACATCGACACAGGCATGAGGAATTCAACACGAACAAGGGCCTCATGATTGCGTGGTCGAACATGCTGGCAGCTGCTGCACGCCACCCTCGCTCTCACCAAGTCCGGTGACTATCAAAAAGCAGTTTCACGCCGAAACAACTAGCTCTCCTACCTGCTTTTCCAGCAACAACCGGATGTTGAGTACCACAGCGTCCACTGTTGTACACCCCAAAAACATTTCCTGCAAATTCTGGGCGGTCTCACCTGGGCGTACAACAACCCCGCCCAGTTGTTGAGGTCTGTAGCGACTTCCGGGTGGTCAAGACCGTATACTTTCTCATCGACAGCCAGCGATCGCCTGCACAGAGGCTCAGCCTCCTCATACTTGCCCTGGAATGTAACACGAAGGGAAAGAGGGATTTTCGGTTGGTGACGCTGCATGTGCGAGAGAACAAATGCCTGGTCGGCGTCCGGGCGCTCCAGGCCAAAACGTACCCTTGTTTGGCTTGTGAACCGTTCATAGAGTGCCCTGTGTCAGCACACTTCCCACGATTCGTTGTGGCAGAGACTCGGAATCCAGGCAGATTGAGATTGAAAACTGATGAGGATTACAATATTCTAGAAGCTTCTACATAAGCACCGTTTGGCTCTCACCTGCCTCTCAAACACCCCCGCCCGGTCGTTGAGCGTTGCCGCCACGTCAGGATGCTCCGGACCTAGCACCTCTCGCAACGCTTGTGCTCACTCATACAGTGGCTCGGCCTCGGTGTACTTGCCCTGGCATGCAGTCGTACACAGCGTGGCAGAGTTGCACGCATCGTGCAATCAATGTGGAATATACAACTGGTCGCGGATGAACAATTTTCTCAACGGCAATGCTATATGCGCCGGTACCGCGACCAGTTGTATATTCCACCACCCTCAACTTGCACGAGAGACAATGGATCGACACCAAACAAGCTGCGCTGTGTTGCCATGACCCACAGCTATCATTCGAGCAGTCGGTCGCACCAATCCGCCCAGTGGTTGCAGAGGTATGCCTACCCACGGGGGTACCGTGACGCCAGAGGTGGTGGCGCAGTTAAGGCTTATCTGCGCCAACCACCCGTACCTTGCACGACAGGCCATAGATCGACACCAAACAAGCTGCGCTGTGTTGTCATGGCCCACAGCTATCATTCGAGCAGTCGGTCGCACCAATCGGCCTAGTGGTTGCAGGGGTATGCCTACCCACGGGGGTACCGTCTGGCGCAATTGAGGCTTTTCTGCGACACCACCCTCAACTTGCACGAGAGAACATTGATCGACACCGAACAAGCTGCGCTGTGTTACTATGGCCCACAGCTATCGTTCGAGCCGTTCCGTTGAAACGAGCGACACGAAGGGCGGCTTCTTAACAAGAACAGTGGTGGTCCAAAGAAGCTGGCCTACCTTGGGTCCCCAAAGACGTTCTAGGCCGGATTGATGTTATCCTGAAAACAGAGGGACAAGAATGCTAACTTGTTTACATCAACACGAGCAAAGCAAAAGTGATCACATGTACTCGAAGCAGAAAAATGGACGTAACGATTCGGCGTTGTCGACGACCTATAGGGAGGCTACCCATGATCATCGCCAACCTTGTCATTCCATGGCGCCCTAAACCACCAAACGGAACACCACAACCCCGAGGTACGAGTCCAGCGTTGAAGACAACTGCGCCACCACTTCTGGCGTCACGGTACCCCCGTGGGTAGGCATATCTCTGCAACCACTGGGCGGATTGGTGCACCCGACTGCTCGAATGATAGCTGTGGGTCATGGCAACACAGCGCAGCTTGTTTGGTGTCGATCTATGGCCTGTCGTGCAAGTTGAGGGTGGTGGCGCAGATAAGCCTTAACTGCGCCACCACTCCTGGCGTCACGGTACCCCCGTGGGTAGGCATACCTCTGCAACCACTGGGCGGATTGGTGCAACCGACGGCTCGAATGATAGCTGTGGGCCATGACAACACAGCGCAGCTTGTTTGGTGTCGATCTATGGCCTGTCGTGCAAAGTACGGGTGGTGGCGCACATGATGCTTATCTGCGCCAACACCGATGG